GCAAGTGCTGGCGAATAGTCACAACAAGAGAGTAAAACACAGGGATTTTGCCCCTGGCGATCTGGTTCTGAAAAGAAAGGTGGGGATGGTCAAAAAAATGATGCCACCCTGGGAAGGCCCATACAGAATTGCAGAAGTCATTGGCAAGGGGGCATATACGTTGGAAACCATGGCGGGAAGGTTGGTCAGCAAGCCCTGGAACGCCACGTCTCTGAAGAGGTACTACCAATAAAAGCTAAGTTCTGGCTTTAATTGGATGTTGTTTGTTGTCAATCAAATACGTATGAATGAGCAAGTTACTGAAATTTACAAAAAAGAATTTTCTTTTCCAACGATCTACTATGAAAATTTAAAGCCAAGTGGCAAGTGGCATTCTAGCCGAGCGCCAGGCACTTAAGCAAGATAAGTGGCAGCTGGCACTATAAGCCGAACGCCAGACACTTGCTAAAAACTTAAAGCCAAGTGGCAAGTGGCATTCTAGCCGAGCGCCAGGCACTTAAGCAAGATAAGTGGCAGCTGGCACTATAAGCCGAGCGCCAGGCACTTGCTAAAAACTTAAAGCCAAGTGGCAAGTGGCATTCTAGCCGAGCGCCAGGCACTTAAGCAAGATAAGTGGCAGCTGGCACTATAAGCCGAGCGCCAGGCACTTGCTAAAAACTTAAAGCCAAGTGGCACGTGCCATAAACAAACACACAGCAAAGCTAATATAAAAGAAAAAGAGAGAAAAGATATGTATGTACTGAAGATGAGTTGAATAGAGCACAACACATAGTGAAAAAGAGTTCTGTCGTTTCATTAATATTGAACATTGAGTTTACAAAAGAGAGATGTCCATCATTACAAGAAGATATGAAATGGAAGAATTCGAAGGAGCCCTAGCTAGACGCCTCAGTACCAACAGCATCCTGGTCGTGCCGACTCGCCTCCTCGGCCCCATCAGCCGCCTCACCTTCATGAGGTGGGGAATCAAGGTGAATGACTGAATCGTTCGGCTGGGGTTCAGCGTCAGCAGTGGCTATGGAAGAAACCACGGTTGACGATTGAGGAGCGGTCAGTGGCAGAGCGGTAGGAGGAGCTGTGATGATCCTTGAGGATGCGATGTCCTGGCACTCATCAAATATACGCTCCGCTTCGGTGGGTTCTGGGTCGACATAGACCCCCAGAGGGTCGATCCCCAGATCCTTGTCTACCTCATCCGGAGTGGAGCTGGTCTGTCCCTCATCCGGAACCCGGTCGGCGAAACCTTCCCGGAATCCTTGAGCATACCTAAGAGCACCGACCCTTGAGAACCGAGCGTAAAGGGCCAGCATCCCACCACCCACTCTGCTGATCGCGTCGATCAGAGCGGTACGCTCCTCCAGAGCTCTTTTTTCAAAAGCCATCCGAGCAGACTGTTCATCAGCTAGAAGGCGCTGGAGTTCTGCCTTCTCTTCTCTAATTGATTCCCGCTCGGTCTGCCAGACGCTCTTCTCAAGCTGGAGGGCGTCCTTCTCATCCTGAAGGGAATCATTCTCCTTCTTCAGGACATCTCTCTCTTGCTCGGTTTTGTCAAGCCGAACCAGCACCTCGGTATTCTTCATGGCAAGGAGGTCGTTTTCTTTATTAGCCACCTCCAGGCTGTCAGAATACTTACGGGCCCTGGCGTTCCCCATCTCCACCTGCTTCTGCATGGCCATCATCCCGAACAATGTCTGCATAGGTGCACATTAAAAACGGTTAAACCAATAGTCAGAACGGGCGAAGGCAAGACCAAGTAATATGAGAGAATTCATGAGTTAGAAAATAAAAGTCACCTCCATAGCAGATTGGGGAAAGCGGCTGAACACATCCTTCTGGGAAAGGCCCTTTGCCGCCTCAAGGTCCTTAGGAGTCCACATGCTCCTGTAGTAGGCCATAGCGGTCTGGCCATCCCTCAGCATGGTCTCGTTCGGTTTCACGAACGTCCCATCCGTTCGGGTGTACCGAGGGGCCCATGGCGGTAAGCTGGGGATAGAAGGGGGGCCTGAAGCAGAAGCAGAGCCACTAGCTGCAGGAGGCCCAGAGGGAGAAGGAGCTCTGATCGCTCGGTGCAAGAGAGCACCCGGCCCAGAGACCCGGGTCCTTCTAATGAGAGGCTCCTCCTCAGGATCGATTTCACTGTCAGGATGAGGCCTTTTGCCTCGTTCTTTGTCCCGACCGCCCCCCGCAGCAGCAGGAGCTATGGTAGCTGGGGAGGGCGCGTTCTGGTTGGCAGCAGGGGCGCTGGCAACAGGGTTAGTAGCCACTGCGCTCGGGACAGTGTCAGATATGGTGGCTGAAGAAGAAGCTGACGCTGGAGAGGAGGTCGCCCCAGCAGCAGGAGTGGCTGGGGGAGTATTTTTCCTCCTGCCAAAAGAGGGAATCTGAAGTCTGCTCATGTTGTAGCCGAGTGATGAGAGCGCTAAGAGGTTGTCTGAAGTGAGGAGATCTGAGCAGGAAGGAATATCGTTCAGAACGTATCTCTTCAAGTAGTTACTCCTATCCCTGCAAACACTATAGCTCAAGTCATCACAAGGTATTCCCAAGGAGCGGCATAAGAAAGTGCAAAAACGAGGAACGCATGTTTCACAGGGGCAGTCATGTTTATGGGATTTGAATTTTTTATAGGAGGAGACAGAGCAGACACCAAAGGCGCTCGGGATTGGGTAACCCTCTGCAGCCGGCGAAGACCAAGCCCCACTAATGCCCACTATGCTATCCCTCCAACCCTTTTCAGATTTTATTGTGTCAGTACATATGGACATCTTCTCGAACGGGTAGAGGTGGTAGAAGGGCTCGTTAGTACGGATCTTACTCACCTTATAGCACAGAAGGAGGTCTATGAGGTCGAGGTCCAGATTTCTGTCACGCATCAACAAGAGCATAACAGATATGATTCTAAAGAAGTTGGGGTTGACCTGCAGAGGGGATATCCCCAATCTATTGAAGACATAACTAAAGAAAGGGTGCAGAGGGAACCTAACAACATTCAATTGAAGGTTCGTGAATAAGACTTCGCCGGGCAGGAGGCCGGCGCCGGTCGTAATATTAACGTCTTGGGGGCAAACCCTAACTTCGATGTTGTCAGGAAGTCTAAGTCTCATACGAAGAACATCCAGATCTACAACCATGGTGGAAGTGCTAGAAGAATCTACAAGAGGGTAAATGGAAGCCTGCCGAAAGTAAAAAGAACGAAACTAACCTCGGAGGACTGCAAGATCGCTGGAAGAATGACTCTTGAAGGATTTCACCAGAGAAAGCTTAGCACTGTTCTAGAAAAGAGAGAGACTTGGCTGATGATGGAGACGGTAAAGGGAAGTGAAGTGGAATTCTAGAGCATTATAAAGGCGAGGGGGCCCGAGGGCCGAAGCGTCGGGAAGGCGAGAAATCCCTCGAGCCCCGGAATATTGATTCTGGATCTGACCGTCCGCTCCCCCACGTGGTTATCTCGAGCCGTCAACATCATGATGAGACGCCATCAATAATTACCCCTTATTAAATAAGGGGCAATTATGGGGGCAGTTGAGGAGGCCCCGGATGACATGGGCCAGATCCGACTCGCAAACATAGCATTCAGTCCGTACAGCTGGGCCAGCCCATAGAAGGACACTGCCATATGGGCCGAACGAGAGTAAGCCCATCAAAGGTGACCAAGGCTTACGAAGGAATAGGCCCAGATCCAGCAATCAGTAAATATCTAGTAAATATCTTGTAAATATCTTGTAAATATCTATAAATAGGAGATGGAATGAAATGGAGGAGGATCTTTTTGGGTTTTGAGGTGTAAGAATTCTAGAGAGAGAAGGAGGAGAAGGAATTTCTTGCATCTTCAGGGCCCTTCAATCAGACTCACATAAAAGTTAAAACCCTCAAGCTCGCGCTTTTTAATAGTCTCCAAAAAAAATGCACCTTTTATTTTTTAATCATTTATGTCATATCATTTTCTTGTTATTCAATGACTATTAAATTAAAATGTTCTATACCAATTTTTTTTCCAGGTTCTATACCATATTTAATGGATCATATTGTTCAACCTTCAAAAATATTTGACAAATATTTAATGACTACTTACGTTCATTGCATTTAGTGCTTGATTCTAAATTTTGTGATACGTTTAAAGTATGGGTAAATTACTCTAAATAACTCTGAATTAGAGGTCAATTACAGATCCGACCATTTTGTAATTATAAAAGCCATAAATGATGAAAAACAAAGGGTTAGCCTTTATATTCTCAAAGACTAATTATTGACAAAACCAATCAATGAAAAAACAAGAAAAAGAATGCCTTGAATTACCAATACGAGCAAAGTTAATCGAAGAAAGAGATGAGATCATGGGAGAATAGAAAGAGTTAAAACAATTACATTAAGATTTTTCCAAATCAACAAACCATGTGTTGGGATTTAGTAGAAGGTAACTAAAAAAAGCAGTTAGATGTTGCACATGGTTCCCCGCAGGCCTTAGCTTACAAGTCAAGATTATATTGCATAGCATTGAAGCACTATATAACAGTCTTTCCCACAAGTAAGCCTTTCTACACCCCAAAAAGATATATGAGAAATATCCGATATAATAGTGTCACTTGTGGAACTCGTATGGCATTAGATTGTTCATATCAAACTCTAGTTAGGCTTATTCAAATATCATCAATTTCCACCAACAAGTGAGGACTAGTGAGAGCTAAGTAATTATAATGTAATCCTTGTGATCAAAATTTATAATACTTAATAATATGAAAAATATTGGTTAATGTAATCCTTGTGATCGAAATTTATAATACTTAAAATTATAAGAAAAACATTGTTTCTTCCAAACAAGCCAACTTTTTTAATGTTGCAAGGACATGCTTATTCTACAAGTAATCAAACATGAGATTTTCTTATCATATACTATTTAGGGAAGAATTTATGTTAAAAGTTTTTCTGCATTATCATGGGTGTGGCAATAACCTATCACAAGGAGGGAAAATTTGACAATGACATTTACTGGCTACGTTTCTCACCTTTGTCTGGCAAAAACTGTGCGACGGTGAGTGGAGTGGCAGGCAGAGATCCTGAAATTGAGACCTAAATGATGTTCTCTTTTCTGTGTAAAAGAAAAGATGATGTAATTAGACAAGTGAAATGGAATTCTTTTGTAAATATGCTTTCCTTCGTATCTCTGAAGCAAGGAAGACTTTTATTGAAGAAAAAAAAAAACAAAAAAAATCACCCAACACTTCTGTTGCCAGCTTGATATCTTCATTTTCACTATTCAATATCATCATGTCACAAGAAAATAAATATGAATTAGTATACTCCAGCTTATTCCAAACCAGAAAAACTCAAGAATGAGAAAAAATAGCATAAAATTTTCAAATTCATTAATTAGCAAATTAACAATGCATCAAACCAGTTTATGTCCCTCAAGTTTATGTCCTTGCCCTTCAAAACAAACCCCGAATCCTCAAGCAGCTGTTTGAGGTCTTTCGCCACCTTTTCTTTTGATATCTGTAAGGAGACAAAAAAAATAAAAACAAGTGCTGCGTTAAAATAAAAGAGGACTAGTACAAATATAAGTTCTGCTTTGAACAATAAACCAACCCAAAATTAGTAGTAAACATCCAGCTAGTCCAACCATAACGAGGGTTCAACTGCACCCTCAGAAAAAATCACAGAGATAAAAAAAATAAATTAAAAAAGAGAGTATATGAACAGCTTACATTATATCGTATGGACAGCCTATGTGTTTCAATAGCATCACCAGCCCTATCAAAAACATCAAGCAACAGCAGTGCAAATTTCATCGCTGCCTTCTTATTCTCAAACCTCTGATTACAATTTTTACCAATGCACATTAATTCAACCTCCTCATCGATTAGTAAAGCAATCTGTTCACGGATGCATTGGCGGATCATCATGCCTCCTTCTAAACCATAACTATCTTTGCCCTGCAGCATGCTTGGAGCCATAATCTTTTCTCGAGCCACCATCAGCAGAGCAGCCATTGGAATGAGTTTTCCCTCCATAGCATAATGGTAAAATATATTATTCACATCTTTTGTGTTCCATGCAAGTAACCTATTGGTTTCTAATGGTACTTTCTGCACAAGGATTATTTAAATATAATAAGCAACCACCGAAAACTATTCAAATAATCCCGATCACATGCATATATAAGCTAAAATATTCTTTCAAGATAAATTAAATCTCTAGCCAAAAACAAACCATTTGCGGCAGGGAAAGAATAGCAATCAACTTGAAAATAGACTGCTTCGGAGTCCAATTAGACAGGTATCGATGATAACTGCTCCAGCCAAACAAAAAGTACAATCAATCAAGAAGTAAAAAAGAGGACATGGTGTGTAGACGAAATGGCTTATTTTATGGCCTCTATAAAAAATAAAATAAAAATAAAAAAAAAATAAAAAAACTCATAAATAAAATTACAACATATCTTCTACCTCAACATTTCGAGCGCTATATTCAGAGGCAGCAAGTCACCCCTGAATTCACCTTCTATGGTTCTGACATCAGTCCAAGCACCGTGGCGAAGTAATAAGTCAATCATATCATACGAGAAATCTTCAGCCGCAATATGCAATGGATATAATCCATATTTAAAGGGAACATTAGGATCTACAACGAAAGGGTCTCCTTCAAGTAAAGCTTTGGTGCAATCTACTGCATCATAGATACACACTAATTCAAAAACATCGGGTGGACAATATGTAGCTTCAATAGTCTCTGGTAGATCTTTCTCCAATTTATTTGATTTCTCTAATTGATTCCAATATCTGGCTTTCATTAGGGCAACAAATCCAGGCCTGTCATCCATATCAACAACTTCTCTGATTTCAAATTCAAAATCGTTATCCATATTTTCGTCGAAACAAATATCTGGCAGATCCATCTGTCGTTGTCGCAGAATAGCATCAGTACACATGGACACAAACAAATAAAAAAAAATGGCCTAGAGGTTGGCAAAAATTTTAAAAATAGAATTTGAAAGTACAAATACAACTTAAGAGAACATAAAGCAAAATGGAAGCAGGAGAATAATTTCAAAAGAGCAAAAAAGACTATAAACAGTCATATATTAAAAGTGAACAAAATAGAAGAAGATAATGTAATAAGCAAGGATATAAAGTTCTAGAGGAACACTCCGCATTTAAAAGAGAAGTCAAGTTGCAACAAAAGGTAAATAAGTTATATAGTCAAGCTGTGACAACAGCTAACTAAGTGATATAAACAAGTTTTGGAAGTTATAGATTGAAGCTGAATTACAGGCATGTGATCCAATTGGAAGGAGAAAATATAACATTTAAGATAGAATGCACACCTGAAGCATTTTTATCCGATTTGAATTTCTGCACTCTAAGCTCCTTGCACAACCTTTTGATATCAGGAAAACCTTCCTACATGGACAGAAACAACATCCTCTGACAAATTTCTAATAATAAAAATAAATAAAATAAATACATAAATAAATACATAAATAAAGACTCCTCCTAGCACTCAACACCAAACAAGAAAGATTGCTGTGTGTACTCAAAAAACAGCTCACATTTGGTATGTATAAATAGACAATTGTGTTCTAACCTATTTTACATGGACTTCAGTACATGCCCAATCTTCAGAGTTATCAAATCAAGCACAAAGATATAGGGACACGGCAACATATTCATATAATTTCAAATCCTTCTAGTTTCAAGAGTAAATCAAAGATTTTATATAACAAAGAATGTTCGACATAGATGCATTCACTCACTTTGAAACAATAATGTAAACAAAGGAACATAACAATATAATTTTTATGTACAATCATATAATAAACTTGACATGGATTTGCTTATTAGGTACATGTCCATGTATCCACGAGCGCACACTCATACTTGCATGATGCATATGCACACAAACTTATATATGAAACTTTCATTTATTTTTATTTTTATTTTTATTTTTATTTTTATTTTTTTATGCACTTGAGTCCTAACAGGAGATCAACAATGAATCCATCTATTTGGGCTATGCTTCAGACATTGAATGCCCTAAAAGAAGAAAAACTTTTTCCACATTCATCTGGTAAAGTTAGCAAAATAAATATACTAAATGTTGCACTTAAAAATAAACAATAAAAAGAAATCCAGATCTGGTGAACAAAGTTAGCAAAAGAATCAAAGGATTTAAGTGACATATTATCCTCCTAATAGCACGATAAAACGGTGGCAGCATTTTCATACCAAATTGTTATACTCCGATTTCAATATTGAATCTCCAGTAACATGGCTTCAAAAAGACAAGGCACGTGCCCACCACCTCTACTTATGGATTCGTTAAACATATAAATGAAACAATACCAAGAGGAATAACTCAGAATTGGCTCAAGCATATATCTGCTTGTTCATTAAGTCAATGAATTGAGTTCAAGCCCAATTTTCAAGCTTGTTTTGTAAATAAACTTAGCCCCGTAGGGCCACATGAACTAGGAACATTGTCATTGTCTCATGAAAGCAGGTGGAGGACACAGGTGGGAGGTAACCATCATACTTCACATGTCTGAACATGTAGAAAAAATAAAAAGAGAAAGAAGAGGAGACTTGTTACTAATATAGTCTAGCCTCTTTTCTTCTTTATATCCCCTGTTTCACACTGATAGTATCATAGACCGTGCCAATGCACAGAAAATGACTGCATATCCATACTATTAAGTCTTAAGTAAGTGAGGTCAAGTAAGTAAAACATATAAATCATAATCAATATGCAAGTATGAGAGAAGGAAAAAAAAAAAAAAAAAAAAATTGCAAACTGAGCCAAAACAATCTGTTGAGGCCTGGTTCTTGTGGCAGATATATATAGCCTATGGTTTCTTCTCTTTTGGTGGCACCAGTAGACCATATAATAAGAAGCACAGCTACACTAAATACGGGCAAGACATAAAAATAAGATATACACGGCAAGGATAGAGTGTAGGATAATAAAATATATGTAACATTATATATAAAAAATAATAATAATTAATTAATTCATCCTCAATACCATGGATGTGAGTACTAATTTCGACATGCCAGCAATCAAACATTTCCATTTCAGCACTATACCTTGTTGTGTATTATTCAACTCTGACAGTATTATTAATGAAGAATTTTTGTTCTTGGAGGGTTTATAAATGATCCATTTTATGCATACAGAATTTGTTCAAAGATTTTTATATTTTACAGAAACTTTTGTTTGGGTTTAATTTCACCCAAAACATTCCAGAAATCAATGTGGAGCAGAAAAGACATACAAAGTCGTGTGTGTGTTAATATATACATATATGTATATATAAGGGATGTATATGGGATGCAAATCCACGGCCAATATTTCTGTATCAAAATGAAAAATAAACTGAACTAAGGATATAATACACAGTAGAGAAAGAAAAGCCCTAACCTTGAGGGTTTCCACCCCAAACAATTCACGGCCAATATTTCTACAACAAAATGAAAAATGAACTCGATTAAGGAGAAAATACACAACAGAGAGAGGAAAACCCTAACCACCGATGACAGTAGTCTATGGGGGGGGGGGGGGGGGGGTGAGTGACGAAAAGGGCCTCTTGTACATTTATTTTTATGGTACACTCAGACTACCGGGTTAATTTTTTTTTTTTTTTTTTAAATCCAAAATGTATACTAACCTAATTAACCCAGGTAATACAAGGAATTCAAAATATATATATATATAATAATTCCAATTTTTATTTTTTTAATGTTATATAATATTTATGTAAAATAAAGCTAAAATTATCATAAGTATTAAATTTTAGTTAAAGAAAAATAAATAAAGAGTATCAGGTTTTGAGTTTTTTTTTAAATTCTAAAAAAAGTATAATAATTGAATTTTAGTTAAAGAAACAAAAAAAAAAAATAGAGAATATTAGGGCCTGTTTGGCATCTGTTTTGTTTTGTTTTTGGCCTACTACAGTAGTCTTTTTGAAGCCCGAAATATGTATGACTGGGCTTGTTGTGTTTTAAATAGTTCCAAAACAATTTCAAAAATAGGCCCAAAATATGAAACACTTTGGTGTTTTTTCATGTTTCGGCACTGTTTGGGCTACAAATTACTGTAGCGGAGGAAGCAATTCTTTCATTAAACTGTAGCAAGTATAACACATATAAAAGGCAAAATGTCATTTTCTAGGGTTTTGTTTGGCGCAGCTGTTCTTGGCGATTTTGGGCGATCGCAAATCATTTCCAATCGCCTCCATCTCTATTCTCGTTCTCTACTCGGATCTTACCCTCTCTCTGTCTCTGCAAGTGCAAGCTATAAAATCTACAAGAATCAGTAGTTCAAAACCCATTTATTTCAGTTTATCTATCTGTCTGCACCTATTATTACCTATACCTCCATCTCTATTCTCGTTCTCAAATCTGAACTTGCCCTCTCTGTCTCCTCTCTGTCTCTCTCTTTCTCTGCAATTGCAAACTACAAAATCTACAAGAATCAGAAGTTCAAAACCCATATATTTCAGAAGTTCAAAACCCATATCTGTTTGCAAGAATCAAAACCTATTACCTATATAATCAAAACCTATTACCTATATCAAAACCCATATGGGCATATCATTTCAGATTGTTCAAAAAATCAAAACCCAAATTTTTCAGTTTCCATCACCTGCTATTCCAATTCAGGTTCTCCATTCGCAAGCTTCCATCGCTTGCTGTTACCTAATAGTTTATTGCAAATATATATATATATATATATATATATATATATATATATATATATATATATATATTTGTGAGACCAAACATGGTTTGTATGTTTTTGTTTCCCCCATTTCCACAACAAAATATAGTTCCCAAACGTGTTTTAGAATTTTTTCCAAAACACTCCTACAACAAAAACATTGTTTCTATTTTAGCCAAAAATAAAACGCTAAAAACAAAACGCATGCCAAACGAACCCTTAGGTTTTGAGTGCTTTTTAAATACTAATAGGAAGAAATATTTAAAAATTCCATAAGTTCTGGTCATCTAAAGTCTCAAAGAAAGTTATGACACGAAGTTATTTTATTTCATGTCAAGTGTATGTAATTGTATATATTAATAATTTTATTTTTTGTAATGTTTATTTATTGGTAGGTTATTTATTATATTTTAATTCGTAAAAGTATATGAGCGTGAGACTAAATAATGAAATTATACAATTGTTTTGATAGCATGCATATATAATTTATCTTTTTGACACTAATTTTTACTCTGTATATGCATAAATGATTCTGGTAGCATTTTATCCTAATTATTTAAGAAACGTTTTATTTGCAAACCAATTTTAAATTTTAAAATGAGTAATTAGTAATTACACAAATTCGAAATTTTTTAATCATTGTAGAGTTTTAAAATATTAATTCGTCCAAGGATAAAAAAAAATAATAAAAAAAAAATTAAAAAAAAAACTTGACCATTATTTGACTAAACGAATCGGTGTGCTTAAAATTCATTTACATCCGAATCGTCAATTTAATTTTCGGGTTTGAAATTTTTGCAAATTAAGGGAGCTTAATGCGTAAAGGACAATAAGTCATCAATCATAAATTATAAGAGTTAAACCCTTTGTTAATGGCAACATCCATCATTTTCACCAAAGGCTAAAAGATAGTGACAACTGAATGACTGGGATCAGCTATTTTTGCATGGGCACTTCCACTTTCTATTTAATCCAGTTGTTAAATTTTGGATTTTTTTTTTTTTTTATTTGTGCATTTTGGTCTAATTTTTGAAGTAATAAATCTTACTTTATTTATAATTTTTGAAGATTTTTTTTTTTTTTTAAAAAAAAATTTGCAATGTTATTACGATGTAAATCACACAATTCTTTTAAACAGGTACAATCTTCTCTTATTCTCACTCTCTCCTGCTATTATTTTAACTCTCATTTTGTGTGACTTAAATTATGATCAAGCACAACCACTTGAATTATGTCATTTATGTAAGTTCACCAAAATAATAAAAAAATCTAACAAAATTAACATGTACATTACCATTCATCCACAATGTTTTAACTAAATCTTATTAAATTTTAAATTAGAGTCTCAAAATTTATTGACAATTTCACTTGGCCCCCAACTTTTTTTCAAAATACTTGTATATTAGCCTCAAAATATAGAGTTTAAAAATTAATTTAACTTGCATCCTTTTGAAACTGATGTAAAATTTTAACTTTAACCATTTTAGTCATACTTTTGAAAACTTAAATCTTGTGAAACATACCTTCCAAAAAAAACTCTTGTGAAATATAAATATTTTTTTATTATGATTGTAGTACACTCATCATTACTTTATTTACATATAGTATATTAATTTAAAAGAGGAAAATACATTGATATCCCCTCATTTTTAATAAAAATGCATTCACATTTTTTTTTTTTTTGTCACACATTTTAGTCTTATGGTTTTTACAATTAAAATAGCTAAAATTATATACTAATCACCATTTGCAAGTTTTGGATTCATTAGAAAAAGAGGAGAAACTAAAATGTTGTGAGACCTAAATGGCAAAACGCCGATAACAACAATGATATCATATATATTAATACTTCTAATAGCAATTAATTTTTTGTATAAGTTACTATAAGTTATAGAACTTGTGTAATTTTCTTTAGTTAAAATTATTATTTTTCTAAATTTTTCTTGAAGATAATAATGATATATTTTTTCAAAAGTAAAATTCAAAATGACTTTTTGAATAATTAAACAATTGTCAAAGAAAATTTGATTCTTTAGCAATCCTCTCTCTTTATCTCTTCATTTTTTTACTTGCACAAGCGAAGTACTGTTTGCTCCTCTATATATTTCTTTCTCATATCATTTTTTTTTTTTTCCTGTTTATAGCTACATTTTTTTAATTATTATTATTGAGTTATATATATTATGAATATATACTATATACAAAATTATATTACAATTTATTTTAAAATAAAGTTTAATTATATACTACAAATTCGTCCCCAAACTAAAAAGTGCCTTTCTTTGAAAAGAATTTAGGGGTGCACACGGTTCAGTTCTATACGGTTCCTGGTGGAACCGGAACCAGAACCGATCCCAACGGTTCCTGAAAAATGGAACCGGAACCGAACCGCGAGAGTATAGAACCAAACTGTAAAATCGGTTCGATTCCGGTTCCCCATCTATATAACATCCCATGTACTGAATCAAGTAATAAACTGAATGTCTGATACTGAAATACTACAGGAGGTGAGGCAGTTTGAATCAAGAACCAAAGCGATCATAATAACTAATTAACAATCACTGACTTTAAATGCAGAAGCTGAAGATTAAATGAAATATAAACTCCTCACAATCTCTTAATAGCTAACTATAGAGATTAGAGCATATATAATAAAATCTAAAACACTTGAACCCAGTTTAGAAGTCCCCACAAAGCTGCCCAAACTGACAAATGGCCACCAACACATTCCAAAACACCAAATTCCATAACCAAACCTCAACTCACCTTAATCAAAAGATAGAGGAAGAAGAATGGGAAGAGGCATCTGGAAATCCGATACTGAGATCCTTTTATATGGCTGATTCGAGGTCTTGCACCGCCGTGAAAAAGGCAAAAGGCCAACCATTTCTCTCTCTAAATTTAGGGATTTGTTTTGGGCTATCGGCTGAGACTTTGTGGGCTATCAAGTATTAACGCTGCCGAAAATTGGATACAGAAGAGAAGATGAGAAGAAGAGGCGGCGCCGCGGCTTCAAAATGAGAGTGTTTGGTCTGAAAAGATGAGATGTGTTTGTGGTTTACAAATTACAAAGACTCTCAAGTCAATGACCTAGACTACATGGACTACGTGGGCACATGGTGACCACTGGAAAATATTATAATAATAACTAAATTAGGCATACTTAATTATTTATATAAACAAATATTATATATATATATATATGGTTCGGTTCTGGAACTGAACCGGAACTGTGGAACTGGAACCGGAACCGAACCGTGAATGGACGGTTCCTGATTTTAGGAACCGGAATTTCAGTTCCGGTTCTCACGATGCCGGTTCCACGGTTCTTTTGTACACCCCTAAAAAGAATGGCATTTGAGATGGTTTTTGAGTATATTAACAAATTGTTCCAATTGCCTGGTCTATCTATTAAGAAATAGTGGATTGACTTTTTTAAACGTGACCAAATGAAATAAAAAAGGGTTAATTTCACTGATACCCCCTCAGGTTTGGCTAAATATCAGTCTCAAATATCTTTCAAAAATAACTATCACTTAGGTCCATTCTCGCTTTTTCGTCACGGCCTCCGTTAAAAACATGAGAAAATATAACTTTGCCCCTAATTTTTTAATCACATTTATTCCAAAATATCAGATAACCTAAATGACTATTATACCCCTATTTATCTCTCCTCTATCTCTATCTCTATCTCTATCTCTATCTCTATCTCTATCTGAAAGGACGCTGTGTCTCTTTACCTTCTCTATAGTTCTTTCGTCTCTCTCTCTTCTCTACAGATATGAGTCACAAATTAACAAAACCATGAAACCCTAGTTTCAGAGTTTTAGTTTCAGAGTCCAAATTTCGTAGCATCAAACCCTAGTTCCAGTTTCCATCCACATACATCACCGATCAAACCCATACGGCTGTGCAAACGCTAATCTCAACATTCCAATATATGATTTATATCAATATATGATTTTTATTATTGTTCCCTTCACCTTGCAAAGCTCTCCAATCGTGACCAATTCACCAAAGGCAAAAGAATTCACAATCTCCAACACATCCTCGATTCTTGTAAAATCCAACTGCTAAAGAAGGGCCAACGCGACGGTGGTTTGGTCCAGAAGCTTCCGGCTCTCCTCCAGGGCTTGGGCCTAGCTGAAGCCAACCACCTTGAATGGTAGCAAAGCCCATGGTGGTGGAAGTGAATGCGAAGACTTGTTTGCAAACGGATGGCCATTCTAGGGTTTTCAAGGTCTCGTTGTGGAGAGTCTGTGAGAGACTGACTTGGGAGTGGCGGACAAAGAAATGGGTGTTTTGATGGATCGGTGATTGAGTATAAGGTGGTGATTTGGAGGAGTTTTGATGATTGTGAAGCTCTTCCAGAGCTCCATTGAAGTAGTTGAAATTTTAATTTAGTTTTTGGCTTTTATATATAGCATATTGTTCTGCGAAAAAAAAAAAAAATTACTATATTGTTATCTTATCCAGTTACGCTCTATTTGGAACCAAATTCTTTGGGATTTGGATTTAGAATTAGAAAAGAAATTGGATTGGAATTAATCAAAACGGGATTTCATATTTGTGTTTGGAATAAACTAGAATTTTAAAAAATAATTGGAAATAAAATATAATTTTGTACCATTTAACCCTATAAATATATATGTATACAACGACGAATATTTATCAATTTAATTAGATCAAACATACAATATATATATATTGGTACTTTTGGTAATTTAAATATACTGTACTCTCTATATATATATGATGATAGAATAATATTTTATAAAGTGAAGAGAACTTTAAACTAGAGATGAGAGAAGTGAAAAGAGGTTTGGTAAGTTCAATTTTCTATCCGTTGATACTCCAAATCCCTTCAAATTCTGTCAATTTTTCTCGGATTTCTCAACATTATGAAATTTTCATTGAAATCTCATGAAATCCCATTTTGTTTAAAATTCCATCTATTCCAAACAATTGGAATCCTTTTTAAAATTCAATTCCTATTAAATCCCATCGTTACAAACACAACATTATTTCCTTGTTTTATATTGCCCTTGAAAACACACATGTTACAGGTTAAAAAATTGACAATTACATATTCAAAAATAAAATTTGTAATTACAGGTTAAAAACATTTTTCAAAATATTACCCTCAAATTTATTTACATTTTTTCACATTTATGAGGTTCAAATGAGCAAGTAATTACAAAGGAATTACTGGTAAAAAAGAATTGTACTTAAAAGAAGGTTAGTTGATTTCAATGGAAAAGTAAGGGTAAACATGTCATTTAAATACTTAAAGAAATAATTTATTTATTCAAACTAAAGTCAAATGAGGGTAAACATGTCATTTGAATCATTAAAAAAATAATTTAGTGGGTCAAACCAAAGTTAAAAGGTCATAATGTCTTTTTACATGTAAAAAGTGATCTGACACACCTGTCAACTAACTTTTGGGGTGTGAGTGAAAAACGGAACAAACGTTTGTAAGGTGAGTGATAGTTATTTTCAAAAAATGTTTGAGAGTGATATTTGGCCTAAACCGAGGGGTGTCAAAGAAATTATCCCAATAAAAAATAAATAAATAAATAAAAACCCAACAACAAAACTTTTTTCCACGAAGAAACTAATAAAGCCCGATTGTTTCTCAGTTTATGTATCTGGTATAACTTGTCACTTTTTCAAGCATGACCAAATGAAATAAAAAAACCCAACAACAAAACTTGTTTCCACGAAACTTAGAGGTGCAAGTCCCACAATTCTTTTAAGCAGGTGCAATATCAAGTTTTATGTGCATTTTTAACTCTCACTCCGTGTGACTTGAATTATGACCGGACACAACCACTTGATCGGACACACCAAATAAATATATTTTGAAAGATTGTATTAAATGTCGTTCAATTCTATCATTTATGTAAGTTCACCAAAATGATAAATAAAAAAAAAAAAAAAAAATGTAACAAAATTAACATGTTCATTACCATACATCCACTCTGTTTTAACTAAATCTTATTGGTCCCTCAACCTCAATGGACAAGACTTGAAGTCCCCTTGTTGCCTTGTTCGAAAAGAATGGCATTTGAGATGGTCTTTGAGTATATCAAAAAATTGTTCTAGTGCCTGGTCTATTCTGCTTTCAAGAGAGAGTGGATTGACTTTTTCAAACATGACCAAATGAAATAAAAAAAAACACCCAACAACAAATCTTGTTTTCACCAAACTAACAAAGCCCTTATCAGGTTATGTATGTGGTATTATAATATTAATTAATTTATGTAGAATTGGTATTTTTGTATGATGTGAAAAGATTACGGGTATTTCTTATATATTTTTTTGAAAAATAAGAAGTAAAATATTATGCAGAATATACTTTAGAGATGTTTTTTTTTACGTTTGTCCCGTTTTCTATATATAGAGAGTATATGTAAAGAAGAAAATCATCTTCTCCATTTTCCTTTCTTCTTGTAAACATATTACCTTTCCTTTTCCCTTACGCACCGTTTGAGATGGTCTTTGAGTATATTAAAGTGGACTGACTTTTCCAAATATGACCAAAGGAAGAAAAAAAAAAAAAAAAATTCTTCTTGTAAACATATTACCTTTCCTTTTCCTTACGCACCGTTTGAGATGGTCTTTGAGTATATTAAAGTGGACTGACTTCTCCAAATATGACCAAAGGAAGGAAAAAAAAAAAAACCCAACAGGCAACAACAAAGCTTGTTTCCACGAAACTAACAAAGCCCAATTGTTTCTCAGTTTATGTATCTCGTCTAACTTATCACTTGTTGCTTATGAATAAAAAATAAAAAATAACTTCACTTATTTCAATTATTTTTATTTTGTATCTTTATTCAACCTTTACATGCTCTCTCTGCATGGCTGGGTGATCTAGAGTTTTTGCCAAGATTTTTCAAATGAAAAAGACTTGCTAACAACTGATATATGCAAGTCCCTAGCTTATCAATATTACTTGTGGGCCTCTACTATATTGCATCTATTTGCAAAGTCAATTCCCAGATGGAGAGTAGAATTTGACTCATTCAAATTAAATATGTTGCATCCAATATATATACTGTGTAAAGATAGCCACCCTTCCCATCTAACAAAAACAATTCAGAGCCTGTGATCAACAGGAGAACATATCTTGGTTGGTGCCATGGATTGTTATGTGCTGTTTGGTTCCATGGAAATTCTGAGAAAATCCTTCAAAATTCTCTTCCAAAGTGGGAGGCTCATGTCCATCATTGTTTCACTCACTTTTCTCCTATACTCCCTTTTCTATTTCGCTAACTTATTCTCCATCAAACCATTATCCAACGATTTGGCCATCAAGCTAATATCTTTATACACTACAACCCCCACCAGCCCTAACTTCATCAACCTCCTCATTGGCATCAAAGAAGATTTTGGAGCTCTCTTGGGAGTCGAATTGGCTTTCGTTCTTGCTTACTCCATCGTCTCACTCTTCTCTGCCGTCGCCACTATTCTTGTATCAGCTGAAACCTTGTGCAAGAATCAAAACTTTTCCCTCCATGATTTGATTTCGAGGTTAAGGAGGTCATGGACGAGGCCAATAGTTACTTCCTTTTACACAACACTTCTTGGCGTGGGTTACACATACATTTTCTTGGCTGTACTGATTCCTATACTAATGATTCTTTATCCTTCTGTCCCTGCAAAACCTATTGCCATTGTGCTTGCTATTGTTGCCTTGATTTTCTATGCCTACTTATCGGTTTTTTGGATTTTGGGGTTGGTTAGAACGGTGATGGAAGAGAGTTGTTATGGAATTGAGGCGCTCGGAAAAGCTGCGACACTAATTAAGGGCAAGAGGCTACAAGGGTTTGTTCTGCAGTTTCTCTTCATGCTAATATCTGTGATTGAGGTCCAGGGGTTGAGCATGATTAATGTGAAACAATCCCAAGTGAATTATACAATTATTGTGTTGGTTATGATATTTTTCGGGCTTCTTGTGAAGATGTTTCAGTTTATTGCCTATACAGTGTTATACTTCCAGTGCAAGAAGATCCATGGTGAAGAGATTGAAGTTCATGGAAGTATAGAATATAGTAAATTGCCTACTACTTCATCACTTGTTAGTGAAGATATACCATGAAGGGGATTATGTATGTATTTTTCATATCATATGGATTGTTGTAATTTGCTTTTTTCTTTTTTCATGTATTTCTTGGTCACATTACTGTGATTTTTCTTTTCATACGCCAACCTTGTGGGCAAGAATTTTGAAGGAAAATGCTAAACATCACAAATTACTGTATCGATCACCAAAATAACTTGAATTACATTGCAAATGATATGACAATTTTGTGGCCGGTGATATGACAACTTAACTTTGTGTATTTCAAAAGAGATTTTGTCCCGAAAATACATGGTAAGATAAGAGGGAAATTAGGAAAAAATTATTTGTGGTAAAATTTGAAACCCAAAATAAACTTTAGAGAAGTTTTTAACTATTTCTCTTCAATAAGAATCCTTCTTTTTTAAACCAATTTTTGTGTGTAAATTATTAGATAAATACATAATTCACTTAAAGCTTCTTAAAATAATATTTTGAATCTTGTTTCTCTTGAATAAAAACCCTAATTTTCTCAACTTTCTACAAGTGTAAATAATTTGATAAATAAATATATAAAGGGAGATAGCGATAAACCTAAATTAATGTTAGTCTTCACCTCCTCCTTCAATGGATAATTCACACAAATATATATATATATATATATGATCGGAATCATCTACTCACCTTTAAATTTGTTTGCTTTGTAATTTAACTATCTTAAATATGTTAATAGTTCAACAAGAAGTAGTGTTTGTATTAAAATTGAAGACATATTCGTCTTTTTATTAGCGACAATAAATATTCGAGATATATACTTGAATTATATTCTTGTAATTTTTTACAATATCCAAATTTTACACTTTCTATATCAAATTAAGGTTGCTATATATTAATGTATTGATGATGTAGGCAAGAATTGAGGTACGGACTGGCCTGCCAATGGGATCGGGCTGGGCTAAAGTTTGATAGGCTCATGCTCTAAGCCTTGAACAGGGATCTCTGGCGGGCTTCTAAAGTCTTGGGTTTTTGACTGCATACTTAATTGTGGCTACTCAAACCAACCATAATTCGTTTATTTTTCTCTCTTGCAGAAAGCATTTGCATATTATGTCACATATATGCCACGCAGCTGAGTCCGCATCTTAATGAATATCGTATTAATTAGTTGATTTTATAACAGATATTGTATTGTTTATTTGTTTTTTAAATTCATATCAGAATATTGTTTTAGTTTATTTTAATCTTTTATAATATAATTGTTAGAAATATAGCCATTGGAATAAAGTTAAAATATATATATTCAAAATTTTATAAAATATTAAAATATTAATATTTTTTAGGAGCAAAACTGCACCATTAGAATAGATAGCTAAAATTTGGAGAGTCTAAAATGTTGACATAACTCTAGAAAATGATGATGTGGTCATTGAAAAATGTTGACTTTGGATTGCAAAATTTTGGAGATGGCATTAGAGTTGCTCTATATAAACTGTCTTGTAAATAAACCACGTAACCTTGATAGATTGTCATGTAAATAGTCTTTGTACTTGGGCCACGCTAATCTGATTTAGTGAGGAAGCAAATAAATAGAAAGAAAAAAAAATGGAAGGAAAAACTTATTTTACTCCTATAAAATTAAATATTTTTTCCATGATTTTTTTCATGTTTTCTTTTTATCTCTATTTTTTATAATAAATAAAGCAAAAGAAAAGGATTTGATTTGATTTTAGTAGGATTCCCCTTGTTAATTTTGTTCTATATTTGTAACTTAAACTAAGTCTACGAGTTCAACAAGTTGTTGTAGATATGACCTATTAAGATAAATGCATGTTGTGTTGAAATGAGTGCATTATGAAATATTACTCCAACATCTTTCTATTTAACCTTTTATACATTAGATTATTATACTTGATATTCATAACACCTACCTAATATTTGATATTCATTAACTGAATGATTGGGAGCAGAATTTTCTCTGTCATTGTGGATTTTGGTCTAATTTTTTAAGTAATAAAGATCTTTTTTAGTCTATTATCACTCTCAGTCTGTGTAACTTAAGATGTGACTAGTACAATCAGAGTAAATATTTAGTGCAATCGGTGTACATTACGATACTGACTAATTTGAATAGTTCGTGATGTGTAAGCGTCAGACTCGAATTAGTGTGCACCAGACGCACCGAATATCTACTCGTATAATATTTTGAAAGATTTTATCAAACGCTGTCCAATTCTGTCATGTATGTACACCAAAATCTAACAAAAGTAACACTGCGTTACTAACACAACCATACATCCACTCTGTTTTATCTGAATCTTAATGGTCTCTCAACCTCAATGGACAGGACTTGAAGTCCTCTTGTTGCCTTGTTTGAAAAGAATGGCATTTGAGATGGTCTTTCAGTATATTAAAAAGTTGTTGTAGTGCCTGGTCTATTCTGCTTTTAAGAGAGAGTGGATTGACTTTTTCAAACATGACCAAATGAAGAAAAAAAACCCCAACAACAAGCTTGTTTCCACGAAACTAACAAAGCCCAATTGTTTATGTTCTTGTTAACATGTCCATGTCAACATTACTTGTGGGAATCTACTAGTACATTGTATCTAACTGCAAAGTCAATTCCCAGATGGAGTGTAGAATTTGACTCATTCAAATTAATATGTTGCAACCAATGTATATACATAAAGCTAGCCCTTCCCACATAACAAAAATAATTCAGAGCCTGTGATCAACAGGAGAACATATCTTGGTTAGTGCCATGGATTGTTATATGCTGTTTGGTTCAATGGAAATTCTGAGAAAATCCTTCAAAATTCTCTTCCAAAGTGGGAGGCTCATGTGCATCATTGCTTCACTCACTTTTCTCCTATACTCCCTTTTCTACTTGGCTAACAACTTCTCCATCAAACCATTGACCAAAGATTTGGCTATCAAGCTAATCTCTTTATACACTACAACCCCCACCAGCCCTAACTTCATCAACCTCCTCATTGGCATCAAAGAAGATTTTGGAGCTCTCTTAGGACTAGAATGGGCTTTCGTTCTTGCTTACTCCATCCTCTCACTCTTCTCTACCGTCGCGACTATTCTTGTATCAGCTGAAACCTTGTGCAAGAATCAAAACTTTTCCCTCCATGATTTGATTTCGAGGTTAAGGAGTTCATGGATGAGGCCAATAGTTACTTCCTTTCACATAACACTTCTTGGCCTGGGTTACACTTTCATTTTCTTGGCTGTAGTGATTCCTATACTAATGATTCTTGATCCTTCTGTCCCTTCAAAACCCATTGCCATTGTGCTTGCTATTCTTGCCACAATTTTCTATGTCTACTTATCGGTTTATTGGATTTTGGCCCTGGTTATAACAGTGATGGAAGAGAGTTGTTATGGAATTGAGGCACTCGGAAAAGCTGCAACACTAATTAAGGGCAAAAGGCTACTAGGGTTTGTTCTACAGTTTCTCTTCATGTTACTATCTGTGATTGCGGTCCAGGGCCTGAGAATGATTAATGTGAAACAATCCCAAGTGAATTATACAATTATTGTGTTGGTAATGATATTTTTCGGGCTTCTTGTGAAGATGTTTCAGTTTATGGCCTACACAGTGTTATACTTCCAGTGCAAGAAGATCCATGGTGAAGAGATTGAAGTGCAAGGAAGTATAGAATATACTAAATTGCCTACTCTATCAATCGTTGGTGAAGATATACCATAAAGAGCATTCTCTATGTATTTTTCTTCTTTTTTCATGTAATCCCTGTTGTCACATCACAGTGATTTTTGTTTTCATATTTACCTAAACTGATTGTTGCTTGTTCTATGTGTCTCAAATTAAACCATGTCAAATGCATGACATTAATGTAGGCAAGAATTTACAATATCCAAATTTTAGACTTTCTATATCAAATTAAAGCCACTATTTTAGTAATCTATGCATTAATGTGCGATAGAATTGAGGGCCGGACTGGCCTGCCAGTGGGACCGGGCCAGGCTAAAGTTTCACAGACTCATGCCCGAAGCCTTGAACAGGGCTCTCTGGCTGGGCTTCTAGCCTTGGGTTTTTTAATGCATATTTATTTGTGGCTAGACCTTGCAAAAAGCATTGTACAATTTGTACATGATCATAATGTTACTCCCCCGGACCGTTATGTCACATCCACCATACAAGTGTAGGCTAATTCGCGGAATACCAGAGACATTTAACATTGTACATATTTGTATAGAATTCTTTAGGTAGCCTAAGTATGATAGAGACAATTCTTTGGAACATCTTACAACCACATCCTAAAATTCTTCCGACTGTTGTATTGTTGAAATTTATATATATTTTAACCCTTCATTGTAAGTATTAATCCTTCATTATAAGTATTAATGTATATCATGAGGTAGGAGTTTATTTGCTCCCCCAAATAACCAAGTTGTAAGAGTTCTCTGAGAGCACTACATCAAGTCAAAGAAAATTTTAGAAGTGCATATTGTAAAAAGAATACAAATGAATAACGGGTAGTGAGAGTAACGTATACTTTCTAGTAAATCCTAACCTAAAAATGGTGGCACATCTATCAGAACCGCCAATTTTAAATTGCTACGTGATATTGTATTGTTTAATGGATATTGTATTATTTATTTTAAAAAATATATATATCATAATATTGTTTTAATTTATTTTAATCCATATGGATATTATACTATTTAATTTCATTTTATAATATAGCCCGCCCTTGGAATAAAGTTAAAAATTAAATTATTAAAATTATAAAATATTAATATATTTGGAGAGCAAATACGTACACTTTATTATGTCTTCACTTATGAAAGGCCAAACCGACACAATAGGCATTGCGATGTGGAGAGCTTTGCTTGGAATGTGTATCGCAAGTGTAAAATCTGAGAAAATACGACACGAATATTCTACCATAGTAGCCAGGTATTCAAAAATCAGTACATGAAATTTTAATGAATTTGAAAGAAATTGTATTGAGAAGTACTTTATATGAAACTTGTTCGGCTCGCGGAAAAGCGCTAGTTCCGCATTCCGG